CAGCAGGAAGAGTCCAATCAGGAGAGTGTATGAGGTCAGGGTGAAAATGTGAGCATTTTTACGAGAGTGCATGTGTGTGTGTGTGTTGGCGTGTGCGTGTGTGCATGTCAGCTCAGATGTGGCTCAAACACACCCACATAATTAAAGAGTCTGTTTAAGGCAGACTGACTTAAGAAGAGAAAAGTCTACAGCATTACCACATGTCCACAGAACCAAAAGGATCCAAATGTTCTCTCTGTTGTCCAGCAATGCTAATGTTGCAATAGTGACCAATATATAAAAAGCAAAATCCTTTTTAAAAACCAACCTCGGTGGCCAACTGCCCTTCTGGCCAAACTCTTCTGTCCATGTCCAACAGGTCAATATCAGAGTTACAAACCAGAGCACAGATTACGCTGTTATATCATAGTAGTAAGTCAGACACTAACAGGTCTTTTTCTTTCTTCCTTAGGTGAGTCTCAGGGTGTGGTGAACTTTGTATTCTCTAAAGACACCAGTGACCTCTCTCTGGTGGAGCAGGCTAATGTCTGGCTTTTCCTACGTCTGGCTAAAGCCAACCGCAGCCGAGCCAAAGTTACAATTCGCCTCTACCAGCAACACAGTCTCACAGATGGACGCCCTCTTCTACCTAAGGACGACATCCTGCTGGCAGAGAAAAAGGTTGACACCCGTCGCAGTGGCTGGCACACCTTTCCAGTATCAGCAGCAGTGCAAAAACTGCTAGAGAGCAGTGAGAGCTCTACTCTCAGCCTACGAGTGTCTTGTCCACTCTGTGGTGATGCTGGAGCCACCGTTGTACTGGTCTCCAGAGGGTCAGAGACGTCACAGCGTTCCAGCCAGAGAGAGCAATCCCACAGGCCCTTCCTGATGGCCGTTGTCCGACAAGGGGATGCCAGTGACGGGCGGCGGCGCAAAAAGCGCGGGCTGGAGTGTGACGGCAAAGTCCGTATCTGTTGCAAGCGTCAATTCTACGTCAACTTTAAAGACATCGGCTGGAATGACTGGATCATTGCACCTCCAGGTTACCACGCCAACTACTGCGAGGGCGACTGCCCCTCTCACGTGGCAAGCATTGCGGGGTCAACCTTGTCCTTCCACTCCACAGTCATCAGTCAATACCGGATGAGGGGCTACAGCCCATTCCAGAACCTAAAGTCATGCTGCGTGCCCACACGACTACGGGCGATGTCCATGCTCTACTACAACGAGGAGCAGAAGATCATCAAGAAAGACATCAAAGACATGATTGTGGAAGAGTGCGGCTGCTCGTAAATGCAGACAATACAAGTAGACAAGAGGGCACACCTCTGAAGTCTGACAAAAAGACGGGGTCAGAGAAGAAAAAAGTGACTTTAATAATTGTGGCTTTTACTTACGACACCCATCTCCATCATACCCTCTGGGATTTAAAAAAACAAAAAAAAAAACAAAAAAAAAAACATGCAGACTCAAAGAGTCTTGACAGCACTTTCAGAGAAAAAAAATAAAAAAAAAACATAAAAAGAATACCTAATATATTTTTGTTACAAAGGAGGAAGCGAGGCTTATTTATGTGGCTAAGACGTTCGTGCACCAACCGACCCACAGAGACGAGGTGCTTGAAAAACCACAAACTGAATCTCAAAACTATGCAACTTGTTTCACATATTATTATCATATCGTATTTTTATTTGACCTGTTTTTGTTTACGTTTTTAAAATGTACAAAGAAAAAAGAAAAATCTTTGTGTATTTTTTTTGAAGGTTAAAATTTGTGCAAAAGTTTTTGCCATTGTTTGTGTGTGTGTGAATGTCTGTGAGTGTGATGAGAGATACTTGAAAGAAACAAGTTGGCCTGGCTGCTGGAACCAAACACTTCTTTATCTTACCATGTTAATATTATAATTATTGAGTCACTAAATATAATAATAATAATATTATTGTCGATCATATTTTGGCTGCATTTGTGTTAGTTTGTCTTTTTTTTTTTTAAAGAAGCGTTAGAAACGTTTCTGTGGAGTTCTTTGCACTATAGCGTCACTCATATTCAGATTAACCACAGAGATCTTACCTGGTGTTAACTGCCGACCAAGTCGCTGTAGTTTCACGCTGCCATGTAACTAGTTATTTATTACATGGCATAAGAACTAGCTAGCAGTTATTCTCTCTTGACAAATCAAAACACGTAGTTAAGGAGTAGATCAACTGACAGTTACAACACTAACTGGGGAAAATTAGTTAGTACTAATAATGCCCACGAATAAAGTTACACCATATATTTTACCTCGGTTCATAAATGACCTTTTAGAAATCAACGTCTGTCAGTATTACTCTGCCTAATCAGATTAGAGCACAAATTAACCTTAAGTATAAATATTTCATCAGACAAAAACAAATGTTCTCATGACTAATGAGTAGGTATTGGACCTTTAGCGCCACCCTATGGTTAACCTCTAAATTTAAACAACACAAATTTAAAATTTGCATACGTGTGGTTTACCTTGTCCGAATGACAAGGGCTCACACTAACAAAGAAAATATTCAATTTTCTTTTTTAGTTACAAAAAAATGACATGTCCGTTTTGCTTCAAACGTTAGAGTAAAAATAACAAGGTGTTTTAGGGATGCCGGACACCCCTAAGTTCAGAATAAAATAAATTGTTAAATATGATCTAGGGGAAAACGAAACAGGCTCTGAGTTTATAAAACAAATACAAATAACCATAACTGAAAAATATTAGAATCTTAAAATAATTTCCAGTGGATAGAATCAAAATAAAGATTGTTAAATAATCACTATGTGTTTTAATGTCAGCACATCAGTTTATTTATGAATAACAACTAAAAAAAAATCTTGTGGCTGTAATCAGTTGTGATGCACTTTGAAAAATGTAAGGGGTTTTATTTTTGAAGAATAATAAAATGTGTATGATAATCAGTCTCTCCACTTTCAAAATAAGTTGGCTTTCTTGTGTCCCGTTTAAATATTAGACACCAAAGAATCAAGTTTGTAAATGCGTCGAAAGGAAAAAGATATATATGTGTCAATTTCGTGTGAAATTTAAAAAAACTTTCACTGAAGTTATTGATTCTTTGAAGACAGTAAAAAAAAAACAACAACTGACTGATGTTACAATCATTCTATCATGCTTTATAGACTTTGTCATTAATCTCTTTTTTTTTTTACTCAAGTTTGTTCCATTATTGTTATTGTTGTTATTCTGCGGACTACATTTCCCACAAGGCTTTACCCTACATTTTTGCCACCACAACTTTGTAAAGAGACGATCCACAAGTCGGAAACAAACCACGCATTGTCCAATCCAAGTGCTCCTGTGTCGTACATGTTGATATCAGTATTGTCGAATTGTTCACCAAAAGTGAGTATCAGTCCTGTTGTGATGAAGTCACAAATGTTACATGTTGGGTTTTTTTTTATTTAATTTTCTTATTTTCCATGTCAAAGAGACTAGACCCCACCATTTAACTTTTTGGGACAAAATCGTTAGGCCATACTGCAACAAAGCATGGATGCCATCAAAGTGTCAGCAAGGAAATAAACAAGTAAAATGCTGAAATAAAGCATTACAAGAACATGTATTTGTTCCAATTGTTCTTTTTCGGAGATGAAAAAGAATTCTGACACTGAATGAAGTGGACAAAGAATAAAAAGTGTATTTTTTATTCTGTATATAAAGAAAACAAGAATCCAGTCTGTTGCATTGCTTTGTTGAACAAATCAAATGTGCTTGTGGCATTTTTCTAATCTAATTTATTTTACAGTCTTTTTGTTTTGTTTTATGCTTCACCATTAAAGTTTAAAGGTTGTACACTAAGAAAACGTGTGGTTGGCGTTTCATTAACTAACTTAACATGTACGGTACTTAACTTTGTCTTCTAACAAGGAGGTGGTAGAGTTTTGAAACAATTTTCCACACATTTTCTGAAGCCAATTTAACGTAAATCTACAGGCAATTTTCCACACATTTTCTGAAGCCAACTTAACGTAAATCTAATGTCCAGCAACCTTTTTTTACTTAGTAACAGCAGTCATCTTTCAGTGGGTGGATACTGGGTTTGATTATGGTTTGTGTCAACTTTTCCTCACTGTCATCTGGGATTTGATACTGCCCTCCATGCAACCATTAAGAGAATAGCACTGTCATAACCACAACAACAATCACTTACAGCCATGAAGTAGACAAGTCTCTGTGCATCAGGTTTCTCTAAGCTAGTTTCAGCAGCAAGGAACATTTACAGTAGTCTGTGCTGACAATGTAGCACCGTATGTAACTGCAGAGAAACAAAGTTTCCTTTCAACAAATTTCTAAATTCAAACTTAAAATATAGGAACGCCACTAGGTTATGTTGCATCATTTTACTCTGGAGAATGTTAGAAGTGATTTACTGTGTGCCATTCCTAGAAAAAAAAACAGTTTTTGCCAGAAAAAGAAAATCTTTGTTGCATTTCACAAGTCATAAAAATGCCATGTTTAAATATGTAAATGAGTCACAATTAAACTGAAACAGGACAGATTTAAAAAACATATTTAGAACATAAATTTGAAAATTAAATAAACTCTAAAGGGTTTACAAGAGCCTGGATTTTTATGTTTCAACATTCACCAGAAAATACTGTCAACAACGTCATAAATCCAGTTTAGACCATGTTTTTATGATTAAACGTTCAACGATTCAGACAATTCTCTTTAAAAACCTCCGAAGGAATATAAACAGAGTCTGGAAAAGATTTTTGATCAAACCAGTTTAGAAAAAAACTCCCCATACTGTAAATCCACAGAGAACAACAGACTAAATAACATAAAATAAATGTTATGAATGAAACATCCACAAATCCTACATGGGAATAAACAATCTGTGTTTTAAGTTAAGACTTTAAGAAAAAGGTGAAGTGGAAGGTCTCCAACTCAGCCGCTGAGCAGCAGACGCAGCAGGAACTCATTTCCTCACTCTGAGGAAAATATGCAGGCTCTATTAAAGCTGCAATATATCAGGTCAAAGGTCACAGAAGTCATCTAAAGACCAGCAGTCTCTCCGCCTAAACTGTAACACAGCTAAAATTGTCTAAAGATTATTACCTGATAAGACTGCAAATATACATTTTTTTAAACACTGACACCTGTAGTCAGTGAAAAGAAAAGAAGTCTACTTACTGTATATATTTGCAAGCAACAGTTAGTGGAGTGTGGTTGTTGGAGGCACTCAAACAGATAAATGTTATTTTATCTCAATGCTCGACGTCCTTTTCTAACAACAAACTCAACTCAAGAGCCAACACAGAAGTCCACAGAAAACATCATTCAGCTCACGCAGACAAATGCGACCCAGAGATTCGTAAAATAAATAAATTTCACTTAAACATTAGGGCAGTGGTGGAAGAGAAAGCAATGGATACATTTTCAAAACAAAGTGCAGTCCTCAAATGTCACCTGACATCAACATAAATGGGTTCCTAACCCAGCACCAGCATAGACCAAATTATGTGATTTTTATTCTTTTCAGATAACCCAGTGACCAACATCAGTGCTTTGTTAGAAAGCTGCTTTTTTTAAGAAAAATCAGTCTGGAAAAAGAAAGGATGGAAAGGGAAAACCTAAAAGATGTACGTCAAACACCAACCTCTGTGTGTTTTTGTACACGGTAATGTATGATTGTTAGATGACTTGCAGACGACTAAACTGCGCCTCTGCAATGTCACAAATACAAGATCAATGATTCCTTCCTCTCCTTTTGTCTGATTAAGGACATGTCCAGGACAACAAGGACGAGTACAGTGAGATTGATGGCTAATGCTAATGGAGCATGTTCAAAGAGTGTGATCAAAGATCAAAGATCGCAGGGCAGACCACAGCAGGGTGTTTCCCTGCCAGCGGGGCGGTGCTGTGGTCCACTGTCCCCCTTTCTGGAGGTGACTTGTTTCTGGAAACTACACCATTCAGACAGAAACTCAACATTAGCTGTTGAGGATTAACAGTAGAGAGACTGTACAGGAACCACTCACAAAGCTACTGTTCTTCCTCTGCTTTATATTCAATCAATCCTTAACAAACACAAGAACATGAGAACCATGTTCCTTTCTTCCCCCCTTGTAAATAACCAAAACCAACTGCCATGTCTGTTTTCATTACTGGGCCTTTAAATCATCTCATATTATTAGTTTTTTTTCAACAGAATTATTTCAGTCTATGGCAGTTTGCCACGGTCTAATGAGAAACACTGAGAAACCAGGCTAACAGTTTCATTATGTGACATTGAATTATCTTAACCAACATACTTTGCATTGACCATAATTTTTTTGCCGAAATCTCTTTAGAGGCACTGAGACAAAGGGAGAGGCTTCAGACAGAACATAATGTGTTTGTATATTTATAATATATATAATACAGGAAGTACTTGTGCTTGAAAAGATGTGCTGA